AAATCACATAAAAGAAAAAGCAAATAACCACTATTTAATACATACATATACATATATAAAAATACTAATGTGAAAGTTAATTCTGAGAAGTTATAATGATTAAAATTTTTTTCTCTTCTTGGTAATTTAAATAATCATAACTAAAACATCAAAAATATAGATAATAGAAAAATCTCATTATACTGGTTTGACTGATATTCATGAACACAATACAATAATCTTTGATCTCAAAAACTGCAATCTATATGTTAACATAAAGTTGAAGGAGAGTTTATTTAAAAATCACTAAATATCACAATACTAGTATATTAATATTACATACTTAAATAAGCTGTAAGTGACTAGTATAGTTATATCTAAACTACTTAATTGTTCTGGAAGTGAAGATTAGATGAAAATCTGAGTAGCATAACTGGTAGTGCATCTGCTGAAGCCCTGCACCAAACCAATTTTTACTTCCATAATATTCTAAATTATTTACTTCTAATTATTAAATTTAACGCAAGATGGCAGCTTAATTATCCCTCAACTAAATTACTTAATAATTAATTAGCCTTAAGTAGTATGATAAAGAATATGGCTGTTTGTTATTTAAATTAATTATCAGACTGGTTATATATTCAATACGTTGTTAACAGATATTCTTTTATTTTCAAATATTCTATTCAATAGTAAACTTGCAGTAGTAGATCATTACACAGACACAGGAAATGCATGCTTTCAGTCTCAAATTGTCAGAGGCCTCCAAAAGTTAACATATTCAAAAAAAGACATGCATTCTATGAACCTTGGGCACAGATACCATCTTTATCTAGACCATTTGCTGTTTGTTGAATGACAAAATATATAGTAAAACTTTTTACTACTTAATAATTGACCAATAAAATTTTCTTTTCCAACTTGAGAAAATATCATAAATAATAAATGATTAAAAATTCTTTGTGCATTCTTTGTACCATACCTACTATTCAGTCAAATAAGCACAATTGATCTTTCTTGCAAATTGCAAACTGTGAGAACAAATAGAAAAGTTCTTAACTGCTTATGTTTGGTGTGGTTGGTGTTGTTAGTGTCACATTTTTGTAAAGAAAATGTTATAAAGTAGTCACATATTATGTTATTATTTATGTTAAATTCAGTAAGCACTGATTGTTACAATCTACAGCCTGACCATTTCAAAACAGTAAAATTCACTGCATTTTAGTCAATTATTAGAATCATACCATCAAATATTAAAATTGATTTATTAGTATTTTTTTATTAAGTGATAAATTGATTTAATGGCATTACTCAGTATTCAAAACAAGGGTCTCAAAACTAGATTTGCACTTGGGGCCCTCAAGGTGCTTGATCCACCACTGTTAATTTGTTTATATTTATTAATTATCAGATACAGTGGGTGATTGGTTAAGGAACACTTTCGCAAAAGATTTTTATGTTCGGACAATGAACACATGATCAGATAATGAACATCTCATAGAACAAATACAAGAAGAAGCGACATAAAATAATGAATATTGATTGGTCTTCTCTTGTCTTCAGGCACAATTCGAAACTTTTCGGAGTGCAGGAGATGTCGACATTGATGCTCAACTCAGTAAATACTAATCGGATAGTATTCCTCTGAACTTTGAAATTCTCTCTTGTAATTCCAGTTTTTTAATTTTTCCGATAGAAACAATTCTTTTATAGTATTCGTGAGACTGTTGAGTGAGCACTCGTTAAGTTTTGCGTCATTTTTTATTTTCGAAAGGTGAGTCTAATATCAAAGGTAGAGAGTGGGCAGAAGATGTCTGATGTCTGTTGTTGCTGGGCAGTATAACTTGAACAGGTCTACAGTAGGTCACAGTTCAATCTTATCTAAGAAAGATACTGTATAATCAAGAAGACTCCAAGCAGCTGAAGAATTAACAAAAGTCACATCTGAGAAATAAAGAACATTGAAGAGCTCATAATTAAACCTGAAACGGATCTGATGACAGAAGAACGCCAAGAAACTTGGTGAGATGTTTTCTTCTAAAAAAAAAAGGAATTAATGTCAATATCTGCTATTAAACATTTTTTTGAAGACATGGGAGGATGTCGGAATGACAGTCTTAAAATGGCATCCAAACTAGGTTGAGGTTAATAGGCTTAATCTCTATAATTACAATGCTATCAATTACTTCTGAAAAATCCTGAAGAGAGAAAAGCAATCAACATTAGACAGATTCTTTAACATCCACAAATGGAAAAAACATGACTAATAAAAATGCAAGACTGTGTATATATGTATTTTTATTATTACATATAAATAAACATAGTAAGAAAGTATATATATTTTTATTTTTGGGGGTCTCCAGTACAAATTAATCAAATTCCCATAATAACCTATAGTAAATCAATAATTGGTTAATGAAAAATTTGGATAGTGAACAAAGTCTTGGAACGGATTATGTTCGTTAACCGATCACCCACTGTACTTTAATTTGCATAAATAAAAATTTCACATATATAATAGTTTTTAACTTAATTTTAGCTTTCATCATAACTTATAATGCTATTTGTTTTTTGTTTATGTCATTTATATACATGCATAGGTTGCATAGATTGTTTCACTTCAATAATTTTTTCAAGCTGTGAAACTGTCACATTAAAAATAGTTTACTTGAAAGAAACAAACTAAGAAAATATTTTTAAAATGAATTAAAACTTTCACTTATATGTAATATTCATATTTAACAATATTTTTATTTATGAAATACAATGCTTCTTTTTATATTTTAATTATTTTAATTTAGTTATATTTTCTATATACAGTGAAACCTACTAATGTGACCACCTGATATATTGATATATATACAATGTCATACTGTCATTAATAGTATTATTTTTGAATATGATAAAATAAAAGATATAAAGTACCATATATAAAAAAGATTTTGAGTTTAAGTGACTACAGATATCTTAATTTATTTTTCTCTTTTTGCATTTATGTTCTAATGGCATTTTCTAATATAAATAAGTGAACTAATTTTCATCTGATCAGCTCACTTGTTCTCAAAATATTATATCATTTTTAACAGCTTTTTAGTAGTGTCTTGTAGCGTATTCTGTATAGTTTATGAAGTAGCCTATATTTGAAATTCAATACTTAATTAATAAAACAGTTTTTTTATTACTGATATAAACATTTTTATTCCTTTGTTATTTTTTCCCCCTCTCTCTCTCTCTTTCTATTCTGTACAGATTGTTTTACATATCTTTGTTGAGAAATGCATGGTACTTGGGTGGAGCTCTGCAAGTTTTAAAAAATTCAAGAGCCTGTTTTTTGGTAATTTACAGTAATTTTTGTCAAGAAATTCTGTTTACTAAGTAAACAGACTTCTCCTTGCTACTATGCATTTTTATAGCCTGGCAAAGATTCATGAAATGAGCTGTAAATAATCTTAATTTCTAATCCAACTTGAGAAANTTAGGTAAAAATATTTCAGTAAAATATGTACATAATAATAATTTAATGTAGATAAATTCATCAATACTTTGAGAATTGTATTTTGATTATAAGATATTGTTAAACAAAAGTTATTCAGGAAGTTTCATAATTAATCAGTTTAAATAAATTAGGATGTAGACATGCATTTTTTTGTTATGCAAGTGATGTAGTTTTGATCGATCCTATATAGGATTACAAAGAAAACAAGGTATTTAAGACGTATACCAAGAAAAATAAGTATATAAATGGATGGAAACAAACATTCAAAATTTCAACCAAAACAAAATTAGCACAAAAGGATATATTATATTGTACTAATGAATTAATTCAAATTATTCAAAAATTGAATTAACTTGAGTGTTGATGGCTGCTATATCAATTATCAGTAAACATCAAAGACACATTAGAGGAAAAGCAAAAAGTGCAATTAAAAATTTATTTATAATGACAGGAAAGATGAAATTGAATAATTTAAACATTCATTTCACTTGTGGTTGTTGGTGAGGCCAATTTTTTTGTATGCATTAGTTTTATGGGGATTATGCATGAACAAATGCATGCATAGAATGTGTACAATCATACATGATGCATTTGGAAATACTTCTTTGATGGATAATTAGGTGTGAATGTGCTCATTCAAATTGAAATTATAAGTAAAATTCCTTTTAATTATATAATAAGTTTTAAAACACCTTTTTCTCTTTTTTTCTAGCAAATTCTTTAATTAAATCAGATAAACTAACGTTTATGGCTATCTTAATTGGCCTTCTTTGTGTTAAGCATAATTGGAACATCAGTTAGAACATAAATTTGAAACATCAAGATTCACTCCCATTCTTATGACGTCATGGTCTTACAAAAAATTTGAAATAAAATGAATAAATAAATAAATACAAAAATGAACAAAATTACAATTATATGTTAAACTTAACTAACCTAGTGAAAAGCAGAAATAAATATCAAATAAACATCCAATTTAACATACAAGTATATGTTAAATTTAATAAACTTAGTGAATAATTATTGCAGATATATGAAGAAATAAATAACTAGATAATTTATAAAGATATATTTATAATTTGTAAAACTGTAAAGTCACATGATGTTCTTATAAGAAACAAACGATGGATAAATTAACCCACTTCCTTTAACTAGGAGTGATTTCCAAGCTGTAGATAACAAGTCTGCATTCTTGCTATTAATATGGCTCCAGAGCTACAGATTGCCAATTCCTGGACTAGGGGAAATTAAAAGCAATAAAATTTGAATTAAAATACTGTTACAGAAATAAACTTTAATAAAATCTATTCTTTATCTAATACTATACAGTGATTATGATTAGCAGATTAATTTAAGTATAAATCAATTTTCTTTGTTCTATGTGCTTAAACAAATATGATGTTATAACTCTGTTGTCATTATTCTTATGCAAAGTTGTACATTCAAAATTAGTATTAATTACTTTAATACAAAATTTAGAAATTTATTTATTTATATGTAATTAAATCATATTTTTAAAGTTACTAATATAAATTATGAGAAAATGAATTAACAAAATTTAAATAAACAGTTTTTCTATTATAGAAGTTTACAAGAATTACTTGATTATGAAGATGATGATGTAGAAGATGTATTTGTTCTAAATTTTGAAGTAAACAATAAATTTAAATAATAGAAGTCTCAAAAATAATTTATTATTATTTTAATGTAGTTCTTATAAGATTTGATGTGTATTCAATTATAGGTGTCATTAGAAGTATATGGTGCTAGAGTCTCTTTTGAATTGAAACCCAATGGAGCTAATATTCCAGTCACTAAAGAGAACAGGTACCAAAGAAAGAAAAAGAAAAAAAGAATTGGTCATTGAACTTTTAAAATTTATTAAAATCTTTAATAATTTGTTTATATTTTCTTTATTCTTTATTTTCTGTTTATAAATCTTTAATAATTAATTTTCTTAGGATGGAATATGTAGATTGCTATGTGGATTTTATCTTGAATAAATCTGTAGAGGACGCTTTTAAATCTTTTTCCGATGGATTTTATAAAGTCTGTGGCAGCAAAGTTTTAGTGAGTATATATTTTAATTTATTGATTTTATTTAAAATCTTTTTTTCATTCATTCACACTATATTCTGAAGGAATTTATTTAAAAAAAACAAGTGTTATATTGAAAATGTTTTTGTTGAAAGAAATGTTTATGAAAATTGGTTTGGACAATGACTAATAGTGTCAATATAATATAGTCTAAATATATAAAATATTTAGCTTAAAAGCATCAAAAAATAAAATAAAATAAACAGTGGCACCAGGAATTGATAAATTGGGGGCAACTGAGCAGGGAGGATGAAGTCTCTAGTTTAAGTTATAATTTTATTGGATATACATAAAGATGCTGAATTAGACAATTTTAAATTCTTTTCAGTTTTTTTGCTATATACTTTTATTGTTTTTGGCTACAATAATTTATTTTGATTAAACCAAGTTTATGTGATATATAAAAATATAAACAAAATTTGCTTTAAAATTATTTATTGGTGATTTAAAAAAACTTAAAAATAGCCATTTTTGCATTCTAAAATAATATATATTATAAATAGCTAAAAGAATTTTTTTTCTTATGAATTATTGTAAATCAGCACATGAAATGACACTTGTCATATTGACTGTCATAATATAAATCAGTGGTGCTGAACTTTTGATTTGAGAGCCAAATTGCAAATATTATATATATTAATATATATATATATATATATTACTCTACAGCCCGTGGACACCAAGAGGACCTTTTAATCAAGCACATCGTGAATTTAACCAGGCACACAACGAGGGGTACGGGTGGTATGAACGGGGTCCTACAAATCCGGGACAGACCGCCCAAAAAAGTCTCTGGATTGCTCGCCATAAATCGATCTGGGATCCTCTACAGTTAGGTTAACAGCCTTGGCCAACTAACCAAAAAAATTGATCGGGAAGAATGAGATAATCCATGCTGTCTTATGTTTCCGTTTCCAAGTTGAATTTTTCCTATATTTAATTTTATTTTTTCAATTTTATAAATTGTATAAACCTAATTTCCAAACATTGTTTTCTAATTATCAAAAAAACTGACAATTGTTCATTTTTTATCTAAATTTATTTACTAATTATTAAGATAGATCCAAGAGTAGAGGTAGTAAGTCTGGGATATATTCCAAATAAAATGTGAAGTTTTTGGTTATGAGCCAAACTCTTTCTTGTAAGAGACATAAATTCTATGGAAACTTGAATACTGAATTAAAAAATCATCCCATTTCAAGAGAAAATAGTGAAAAATAATTTCAGGAAAACGTCGGATTAATTTATATTAGGATCGGTCATTCTTTATCAAAATTATAATTAGACTATATATAGTAAATTTAAATTGTTACTCATTCATTCCTGCACTATGCTATCTGCCTATATGATATATATGTATATGTATATATATTGCATACAGTATATATTTTATAATCTTTCTGACCTGTATGCACCTAGAGGATCTTTTTTCCATACCCATCGTGAGTGCGTTCAGGCTCACTAAAAGAGCATCCACCAATGGCCGAATAGATAAAATCATTGAACACTGATAGTTGATCGCGGACTAAACTTCACCAACCGACTGGCCGCGTGAAGTTTTCCAGGTTTCCTTCACATGTCTGACACCTAAATAGGGGCCAGTTTCCTATAGAAAGTGGTCACTTGGCATATCGCTGATGTCTTGTGTTGCCCTATCTCATCCAATCCTCAATGGAGAAGGCCGAGGTCCGACATATTCAGAACAAAATGCCCATGAAAAATCTCTGGAGAGCTGCTTGACTGGATCCGATCCTGGAACCCCAGAGCGGTAGGATGACACCTTAACTGCCTCAGTCACCATCGAAATTTCTGCTATGAGCTCGACTAGAATCATAGATTTTCAGGTTAGTCTATAGATAATCAAGTTAGTTTGAGCAGAATCACTTAAATCTAATTGGAATTTGAATTGGATTCTATGCAGAGTAATCTAATAAGAACAGACGAAAATTTCATTGGACCAGTATGTTACTGGGTCAATAGGTATAATGTATTACATGGAATGCTTTATTTAAATATTCTTCAAATTTACTAGAAACCTCAATTTATCTCTGGATTAACTGAGATTTTTCTGAAATTAAATTTAAATTAATTAAACCGAAAAACTAGAAAGTTTTTCATGCATGCTGAGAATAATAAAATAAAATTTATTTTAGTGAGAATATGGAACGAAATGTAGAGAAAAGCATATTGAAGAAAAAGCGATCTTTAAGATTTGTTACAAAACAGGTGCGAACTATAGTAATAAAAATAGTTTATGATAATTAAAACGTTCGAAGATCGCTACGATGCAAATAAACGAGTAACGTGTAATTTGAATGGAATCTTGAAAAACTGGAATCGAATCTGATACTAGTTGGTTATAAATGCAAATGAAACCAATACAAAACTTCAATAGAATCTACAAAAAATTTGGAAGCACTAGCAACCAAAAGCAAATCACTATATTGAATTTATATTTCAGGAACAGCGACAGTTCGATGATGATCGAGACAGTTAAGGCGTCAACTCCCGCTTTGAGAGATCCGAGATCGAATCCGAACAGTTGAAAACCCCAGGAATTTTTCAGGGGTGATCTGCTCAGGATATATCTAGGCCTCGTCTCTCACCACTCGGCCAAACTCATAATGAACATAGTAAAAGACACCTCTTAATGCCCACAAGGTGAAAAGCTTAAAAATATACTGTATATTAATTTTAGAAAAATGTTCTTAATGAGTAATTAGAATTAAAAATTTTAGATAATAATTTCTGAAAATCTATATTACAGTTTAAAAGAACATTTCAATAGTGAAATAGTGATAAATTTAATGAATTTTTGATTTAACAAACTAATAGCTCATTTCGTTCAGCATAGTTTATGTGTTCTTCGGATCACGTCATTCGTTGAAATGTAATTTGTTCAAACAATAAGGCGTGTCTTATGCATGGCACAGTATAGTTCAGTGTTTCTCAACCTCTAACGTATCGTCGCCCCTTCAACGTAGTATCGCCCCGTTCACTACAAAATTCCGATGTTGAGGGACAAGACTAACGCCAAATTCGTACTGCATTGAATAGACTAGTGACTAGTATAATGTTATTTGTTTAATTATTGTACGATATAACGAATAAAACATCTAATTATTCTTAATATAATGTTTTACTATATCGCCCAGAAAATTGTTTTTCGCCCCCAAAATATAAATTGTTACTAATCTCCCCCTCAACATGGAAAAACACCCACATGGGGGCGATATCGCCCCCATGTGGGCGTTCATCATCAACTATACTATAGTTGATGATGAACGCGTGTTTGTACGAGTTCGTGTAATTTAGCGGATAAAATGTCAGTTTTTAAAATACATTATAATATATTATTTACTAATGTAAAGATCATTTTGTACTGAGCCAATTAAACTTAAGTGATGTATGCTGTACAAAATGAATAGTGTGACTAAATGCATAACTTAGTTGTTTGTTGATCACTTACGAACGAATCGTGAGGAACTCATCAAGAAGAGTTTATTTTGAACGCTCGTTAACAGATTACATATCACTATCTGTACCATAATCAAAATCGCGTTTAAGTTAACAGTCAATTTGTAAAATCACGCTATAAGTCTGCCGCCGTCAACCTGCATCTCTGAGGATCTGGGTTCGGACCTGATCCAGTTCCCAAAATTTATTGGATAAAATTATATTGAATACTATGGATAGGAGCATGGACATATGCGGAAAATTTTTCAGGGGAGAGCCAAAACGAAAACATAATTATATCAATAAGTTATTTTATTATTATTATTTCTATTTTTATAATACAATATTTGATGCAATATTGTATTTTATTATAATACAATATTGCATCAAAGCATCCCATTGTCAAATTCAATATTGTATTTTAATACAATATTGCATCAAAGCATTCCATTGTCAAAGTTTCACATCTCAATCACTTTTACGATTATAATAATTTGTGGAATTTTTTACTCCATCCCAGGGAGGGACAAATGCCCCGTTTGTCCCCTCTGCGGACGCCCATGGGTAGGTGTATCGTTTTCTATCCCATATGCAAGTTGGCTAATCCTATTGAGAGTCAGGCTTGCTCAAAATGGGTATAATTACGCTGGCGCTAGATCATGTTCTTTAATCAATCGTAAAATTCATAATTTTGGAATAAATATTTTGTATCTGCATTTCGAACTTTTTAGTAAATATAGCAAAAACATAATAATTACAATTCCGCAATAATAAGTATACCAACTAAATCCTATAGTATTTGAAATTATAAATGTAAAAAATACATTGTTACATGACAAGTGCAATTCTCCTGTTTTGTTTTTTCGTTAAGGTAATGCTTAGTTCATTCGCATGAATCAGCTAACTTAAAACCTATCAATATAAAGTATATATTATGATGCAATTGCATTCCAATTACAATAATTTTTGTTTTGAAAAATTGTAAATCTGATATTCAAAACATTGAGAGTGTAGGCTAATTTATAATTTTTGTAAACTTTTTAAAAATTATCTGCCTTATAGTTATTAAATTAGAACTGTAGTTTCAATATACTCTGACAAAGAGCGAATTTACTTTTGTTTTCAAGGCAACTAATGGCCGAGCTGATGAAACCACTGAACATTAGTTGGTTGAGGATTCACGTATCACTAACGGGCTGACCGCGTAGAATTTACCGAATTTTCTTCAAGTGTATAACACTTAAATCTGGGCCAGTTTCCCGTAGAAAGTTTTCTCGGGAGACGTTCCCTTAGCAGTTTGCCGATGTGTTGCATTGCCTTATCCCAGCATCCCAAACCTTATTTTCATTTATTTCACTCATTTAATGTTTTGCAGGAATATATTAATAGTTTTTTTTTACTTGAGGACTTACTTTTTTGTGACATATTAAGCATCTTAATTGTAAATAATTTTATGGAATTTTTGAAAAATAAGTTTATGTCATCATGATTACGATTTTCTCGAGTTCATTATCATAAGTTATTATGAATATGTAAAAATTTAAAACTTTATAACATTAATATTCTGTTTATATTAGATAATA